TGAGGTCTTGAGTTGCTACCAATATAGAGCAATGAATGGATTAACATTAGATAGAAAAATGGAAGATGGTTCTACTTTGATCCAGGTAAGAAGAAAAGAAAGATCAATAAAGAAATTAGAAAACCCCTTTTAAGCTGAAGAAGGAGAGAGAATTTATTTTCAAATCAAATACGTGTCAACCACCGATAACCAATGAGTGGCTCCTGTCAATTTTTTTTTTCTTTAATTTTATTTTATAAAATATGAGCTTCAAAACCGGAATTCTGAGGCTAACAGCTTCTGTGTGAATGAATACTTGACACTGAAGCCCAGAACCCAGGAATCTTTGGCCTTTAAGCAACCTTTGCTCCAAGCAATTCTTCAATTCCCACACTTTTTATAACTTTTTTAATTCCCCCCATGTAGCCCTCTTCCTCTTCCATCTCTCTCACCCTCTCTACCATATGCCCAAATCAATGGCAGTCACCCACGCTGACCTCGCTCCAGGTCCCCGGAGCACCGAGTTGGGCAGCAAAACCGGTGCCATCCTCATGGTCTTGACCATCCTCTGTGGCCTCTTCTGCTTCATCCTTTGCCTCATCGCCGAAGCCACCCGCTCTCAGGTACAGGATACTCTATCATATTATACATACCACATGGCCAGTTATATCACGTCAAATATATGAGTCAATTACAACGTAACACTATAATAGGAGACAAGAATTGGATTGCCTTAATTACACGAGTTTACATAATTGGTAATTGAACATAAATGACTATTATTTCTTTGGTACTGAGAATTTATTAACTTCATTACACCATTTTACATGTATAAACTGTGACATTTTGAACAAGTATACTATCAAATTTCATTTTTACGATTGGGAATTTTGTTTTGAAGTGGAATTGGTGTTGCAGGAGACATGGACGAGCAAAGGGGAGGAGAAGTACGAATGCATGTATAGCGGTAGCGGGAAGAGGCCGTTGTTGTGCTCGGCGGTGGCGTTTGTGGGGCTGGCGGTTACCATGGTGGTGGAACATGTGTACATATTGGTTGCAATCAGTAATGCACCGCCACCGCTTCTGGTTAATTGGGACCCTGATTCTCCTCTTGCCAAGTCCCTCACTTGGCAAGCTGGGTTCTTCTTTGTCACAACTTGGTAATAAAACTGAAACTCGTTCTATTTTTTCTTCGTTCATAACAATTACAGAATCTGCAATAATAAATAAAAGTTTATCTTAGCTACCAATTGAATTGATTAATGGTTGCTCATATTAATTACATGGAAAATGATTGGTACATTCTTAATTCAACATATTTTTTCATATATTCTCGGTTTAGTCATTAAAAATATAATATAAATATTGTTAATTCAATTAGTTCTTGCCTTTGTATATGATTGTATTATTAAATTTGTCTATCCTTAATTTTACATTAAAAAATAATAATTTTTTTATGAGTGTGTCATGCAGTATATTGAATCGGAGTGTCTACTAATCACTATTTTAATAACACTCCAATGGGGTAGAAAATTAAAATTATAAACCACGATTGAATTTCAACCATCCGCTACTAATTGTGTTTTCGTGCTAAAATCCACATTTGATTTTCTTTCTCTTAGGCTTTGCTTCGCGGTTGCAGAGATTTTGTTATTGATAGGGCTAAGTGTGGAATCAGGACATTTAAAAAACTGGTCAAGGCCAAGACCAGGCTGCCTCATATTGAGGGAAGGCATGTTCTCAGCTGCTGGAGTGTTTGCTTTGATGACAGTTTTCCTTGCGGCTGGTTTATACTTAACAGCACTGCGGGCACAGAGGATGTTCCAAGAACAGGAGAATGTGCGGCGTGAAGTGCTGGAGGCCTCTGCCCTCTACTCCTCCCCGCCAAGGTCACCGCCCCACCGTGTCATTGCAGCCTTTCCCCGAGAAGATCCGATTACTCGAGAAATCGGAAATGTACCTCCGTTATTCACATATCCACTGGGTTTTAGCAAGCAGTCAAGTCTAGTATAGGGCAATAAATCAAGCAAAGATGGGAAATTGGTGCCTCTGGCAAAGTTGGGGGTATTTGTTGTAGTTAGATTGTCTTGTGGAAATTGTTATGGTATATTGTATAGTCTATAGTGATACAAAGAAAAATTGTATTCATTTGTTTTTGTAAATGAAATTTTAATGCATATTCGAAAGAGTTATTTGTGAGCAATTGGAACTCATTTTTTAGTTAGTTAAAAAAGGAAAACGATATGTAACAATTGTTAGGTATAATTATTTTTATACATGTTATGACATTACCATGTCCATCAAGATCAAGTATGTCTTTAATTAATGTTCAAAACTTCTATGCAAAAGGTTTGATAATCAAATATTGACTTATATAATAAAAATATTTATATTCTTTGTGAGACATCTCAATGATTAAGAATTTAAAATTTTATATTAAAAATTTTAAATTCAAATATTAAGATAAATGAAAAGGAGTTTGAGAAAAGAAATAATATTTCTTATTTGACAATCCACCATTCAGAAAAAAAAAAGAAAAAAAGAAAAAAACAAAGATTTATCTTATTTCTCAAATCTCTTTGATCTTATTTTAAAATTTGAGATTAAAACTTTCAACATATAGATTCACATTCTTAACTACTACTGAGAAATCTATTAAAAGAGTTTATCATCTAATCAAGATTCAAATAAAATGAAAATGTAAAAATCATTTGTATATGTTAAATCGGGAGTGGGGGGGAGGGGGTGTGGAAGAAGAAGAAGAAAAAGAAGGAACTTTTCGGGCTCAAGGCCCATATCTAGAACTGGACCTAGTTTGAAGAATCAAAAGAGGATATGTCCCCCACCCACAAAATAGAAAGCAAAAGGTAAAAAGGTGTTAGGAGGATATGAACTTCCAACATTTTTCATACAAGGATATAAAGTTTTTTTTGTTCCTAACCAAGAACTCTTACTTTTCGTTTTTAGAAGCGAATAGAAAACGAAATATTTGAACCCTTAATTATGAACGACAAAGTTATACTTGTGATAAAAAAAAATTCAAAATTCTTATTCTTATTCTTCTTTTTTGCAAAATTATAAATAAATAGTGACAAAGAATTGAAACTTTAAAAACTTTAATTTAAAGTTATTGTTAGAAATTCAAATTCCTTAAAAATCAAGCAATTAACTTATTACTAAATATGTTATAAAAAAACCTACTTACAAAGTTTAAACAAATTTAATCTTTTTATTTTACAATAATTGTCATTTTTTTATTTGAACTTTCTCTAAAATTAATTATCATTTTTAAATAAATAAATATTTTTTTGTTTTAATCATATCACTGTATTATTTATTTACTATAACTAATTATCCTATTAAAAAAAGGTAAATATATAAATTTTTAAAAAAAAATAAAAAATAGTAATTATTTTAAAAAATTATTTAGTATTTATTTAAGTATTTAGTGAGCTGAAAATAAGAATAAATTGGTTATAACAAGATCTTTAAAATTTAAGAAAAATAATTTAAAGATAATTTTTTTGTATTTTTTATATAACTTTACATATTATTTAAATAATTAATTTTTTTATTTATTTAAAATTCATAATATTAAATACATCTACTCTAATAATATGTAAAAATTATATTAAAAAATAATATAAAAACTTTAACTCTATATCACTACTTAAAATTAAAAAAAAAAAAGTTAAGATAATTTTTTTTTATAGGAGATTGGACAAATAGACATTAATATGTAAAAATTATTACTATTATATTACTTGAGGGGTAACAGAAGTGACCATTTGTATAAACTTTTTTAACTCTTCACCTTACAAAATTAAAAGGTTTGAACTCCTAACCTTATAATATGATACGTTAAACCTTTTACCTTACAAAATTGATAAGTTTTAACCTCTTAACTTACAAAATTAGTAGGTTTTAGTCCCTCACCTTATATTATTATACTTTTAGCCCTTGATTTGTATAAATTGAAGAAAATAACCCTCATTTAACATCAAGTTATAATGTTCTATTAGTTCTGTTTGTTGACTGTCAATTCTTATTAACTGTCAATTCTTATTAACTGACTGTTAGTTTTATTAGCTAATTATTAGTTTTATTAGTTGACTATTAGCATCTGTTAGCATTTCATTAATGAAACTAGCAAATAAAATTAAATTTAAATTTCATACTTTTTATAATAGAATGTTAACGGATGTTAACAGTCAACTAACAGAACTAACAGAATGTTATAATTTGATGTTAAGTGAATGCTATTTTCTTTAATTCATATCGATGATGGGCTAAAAATACCATAATATAAAGTAAAAGATTAAAACCTACTAATTTTGTAAGATGAGGAGTTAAAATTTACTAACTTTGTAAGATAAAGGGTTAAAACTGTTATGTTATAATGTGAGGAGTTAAAACCTATCAATTTATATGGTGAGAGGGTAAATGTTGGTTTTTGACAACTTTTTTTGGAAGAAATTGAAATGTGTTAAAAAAGGACTCCTTAATTATTAAGCACAAAATTATAAAAATCAGTATAAAACCAAGCTTCTCCACCTGCTCCAGTCTTCACGTTCCTCCTTTCGCTTTGTCTCTGCCTTTACTCTCAATCCAATCCATCTCTGTTTAAGTTCTCTCTCTCTCTCTCAGTTGCTTCGCCGCTCATCTCCCCGACGCAATCTCGATTCGAGCACTATTTCTCATTTCGTATTCTTTCTTGATAAACTACGACGCAGCCATGTCGCTTAGGCCGAACTCGCGAACCGAGGCCCGCCGGAACCGTTACAAGGTGGCTGTCGATGCAGACGAAGGTCGCAGGAGGAGGGAAGACAACATGGTGGAGATCAGGAAGAGCAAGCGCGAAGAGAGTCTTCAGAAGAAGCGGCGTGAGGGGCTTCAGGCTGCTCAACAGTTCCCTGCCGCGGTCCACTCCTCAAATCTGGAGAAGAAGGTATTCGATGAAAACGAAGCAAATTTAAATTAATACACTTATCCGTTTATTGTTTATCTCCGAAATTGTTTTGATCTATTGTTAGGGTTAGGGTTTTGATGGTAGTGTGCTTGTAATTGCAGTTAGAAAGTCTTCCATCCATGGTTGCTGGTGTCTGGTCAGATGACACTGCTTTGCAGTTGGAGGCGACTACGCAGTTTCGGAAGCTGCTTTCTATTGGTATGTAATTGAATCGGTTTGGTTAGGTTTATTTTCCGTCTATCTTTCTATAACTGGGTAGATTGCGATTTGAACAGAGCGGAGTCCTCCAATTGAGGAGGTGATAAATTCAGGAGTTGTTCCACGCTTTGTTGAGTTTCTTATGAGAGAAGATTGCCCTCAGCTTCAGGTATTTATTTATTCTGGCTGATTTTGAGTAGTCTTGTAGGATCATTAATTTGAATTTTGTAAAGATGATATGTGGTAATGACGATAGGATGACAATTCTGTAGTTCGAGGCTGCTTGGGCTCTCACGAATATTGCTTCTGGGACCTCGGAGAATACAAAGGTTGTTATTGATTATGGTGCTGTTCCCATATTTGTTAAGCTTCTTGCTTCTCCTAGTGATGATGTTCGTGAGCAGGTATGTCTCACACTTTATCCACAGCACACTTTAGGTGCTTACATGCCACTGGAGAAGTGTTTTGTTTGCAATTTTGAGCTACTGTAACTGATACATGACAACAACAGAGAATCCAAAACTTTGTAATAATGATCTTTCAATCGGTAGGCTGTGTGGGCATTGGGGAATGTTGCTGGGGATTCACCAAGATGCCGTGATCTGGTACTTGGCCATGGAGCCTTACTGCCTCTGCTAGCACAGCTGAATGAGCATGCAAAGCTGTCTATGCTGAGAAATGCCACGTGGACACTGTCAAACTTCTGCAGGGGCAAACCACAGCCTCCATTTGAGCAGGTTTTCATTTCTCTTTTTGTTTTCTAGCTATCATTCTTATGTTCTTTCTTCGTTGTGGCATGTATTGCTGTTTTATAACCTTCTAAATCCTGTGGTCAGGTGAGGCCAGCTCTTCCAGCTCTTGAACGTCTCGTTCATTCGAATGATGAAGAAGTTCTGACTGATGCCTGCTGGGCACTCTCATACCTTTCTGATGGTACAAACGACAAAATTCAAGCTGTTATTGAAGCAGGAGTTTGCCCCCGACTTGTGGAGCTACTGCTGTGAGTAGAAGGATTGTTTGTCCCTTTTCTGATTTGCTCACTCCTTAAATTATTTGCATGTATATCTGCTAATTGTTACGTTTTTCTTTCAGTCATCCATCTCCTTCAGTGCTCATTCCTGCTCTTCGTACAGTGGGAAATATTGTGACAGGAGATGACATGCAGACTCAGGTAATACCGCATCAAAAGTGTTCATAACTTTTTTTAATTCATCTTCATTCTCATTTAGTTCTGCGTCTTTAGGTAGGTGAGACTTCTTTGTTTATTCTGTCCACAATTGTTTCATTCTAGTGCTCGCTTGTATATTAGTGGTGAAGACATTGTATTGTGTACATGCTTTATTAGAATTTAGATTAAAGGGAAACTTTATGGAGCTGTGTTCTAGATGTTTAGGTTTGGCATACGGTTAATTTGAGTAGCTTTGTGTCTTCTGCCTGCATAGTTTCAGGTCTGTCCCAGCCCCAGGTACCTTTAGATCATAATAACACAGATGATGAATTAAATTTTATTAAGTTTATGTTGTGAGCTTGTGAAGGTGAAGTGTCACTCTTTGTGTACATAAATTACCAGCAACTTCTGCTTATTCTGTGGTGTGATAGGCTACTACGTTCCAAGAGACAAATGCTAGGTGAAAAGCAGTTATGCTTATGCAGCATAAGGGCTTGATTTTTTTAACTGTTTGATGTTAGATTGTAGGAAGGTGTGAAAGAGAGGAGCTCAATATTTTTATGTTTGAGCTCTCATTTTGTTCTGATAGCAAATCTGCTTCTATTTCCTTTTTTTTTACCTTATTACAAAGAGAACGGCAGAGGACCTTGTGATCTTTTTAATTTTGTGTTCTCCTTTTCTTTTTTCTTTTTTCTTTTTTTCTTTCCTGATAGAAATCTGCTTTTGTTTTCCTATTTCTAATTTCCTTATTATGATCTGCGCAGTGTGTGATCAACCATGGTGCACTGCCATGTCTTCTGAGCCTCTTGACTCATAATCATAAAAAGAGCATAAAGAAAGAAGCTTGTTGGACTATCTCAAACATTACAGCTGGAAACAAGGAACAGATTCAGGTGTGTAAATCTTATGCAAGTTGCCTTTGGAATGGTCATATGATCAGTGTCAGGAATCACATATAGCTGAGAGTGGGATCTTTCTCTGCTTTAGAGAGTTTTTGTACAGACTATTGATATTCTTATGTGAAACAAGTAGTTCTCGACATACTTGTAACTAAAATTATTTTACATCATTTGCAGTCATCAGAACTTATTTTCTTCATTCGGCAACTAAACAGTGTTGCCTCTTTTCTTTTTGGTGTTCTAGGTTTTTCTTTTTCTCCCTTTTTTGTTGGGGATGGGGGATGATGTTGTAATGCTTTAGTTTACTAAGTGATTATTTGACTGAAAGTTGAATATTTTATGAAATTTTGCAGGCCATAATTGATGCTGGTATAATTGGTCCCCTGGTCAACCTCCTTCAGAATGCTGAGTTTGATATAAAGAAAGAAGCTGCATGGGCTATTTCAAATGCTACCTCTGGTGGTTCGCATGAACAAGTCAAGTATGTTCTTCGCTTCTCTTATTATCTTTAGAATTTCATCTCTTGTTTTCTAGTTCCTTGTTTACAGAAGTGATCATAAAATACGTTCTCCTTTTGGGGTGACAGGTACCTGGTCAGTCAGGGGTGCATAAAACCGTTGTGTGATCTCCTTGTGTGCCCAGACCCCCGAATCATAACGGTATGTCTAGAAGGATTAGAGAACATTCTAAAGGTTGGTGAGGCTGAGAAAGTTGCAGGTGCATCTGGAGATGTTAATGTTTATGGTCAGTTGATAGAAGATGCTGAGGGATTAGAGAAGATTGAAAATCTGCAAAGTCATGACAACAATGAGATCTATGAGAAGGCAGTCAAAATTCTTGAGACTTATTGGTTGGAAGAGGAGGATGAGACATTACCTCCTGGTGACGGCACCCAACAAGGTTTCCAGTTTGGAGGGAATGAAGTTCCAGTTCCATCTGGCGGATTCAACTTTAGTTGAAGTTTTGTATGTATGCCATTTATGCAAACATTCTTCTATTACTTTCTTGTTTATGCATTCGTCTCATTTAAGTGAGATTATTATAGCTATATAATATTTTGCAGGGATCTATTGTTGGATGGAACAGTTGATGCCTGGAGTTGCAATTTGGAAGGCATATATTGAGGTTGAGACGGGTCCAGTGTGGTCAAGGTGCTTGATGTGCCAGGTCTTAGTCTGTCCAGTGTCAATTATAGTCAAAGATGTGCCTGCATGGGTCTGTTTATGCTATATGGTTTCCAAATAAAGAGGCGGGTGGGAAATTGTTATTGGACAAGTTTTTTTTACCAATCATCAATATATATCTGCCTTAGTCCTGTTGCGAGAAATCACCAAGTGGTAGAATCAATGCCATGGGCAGCGTCTTGATGCATAAACGAGACGTTTATATGGTTGCCAGTAAAGATTGTTCAAGTGCGGGATTAGTCTTCCTATTTGTTCTGAGTCAGAGTTGTACTATTAGTTTTTATACTGTCATTTGTTATTCTTTTTTTGGGTCTTCCAGCATGAATATAATATTGATTGTTGAACGTTGATAAACCTTATTTCATTGTGTTCTGAGAGAAATATGAATTTATTTAGAGTATTGTGGCTATGCATCTTCATTGATCATTAGTTGTATTTTTTTAACATATCATTAATTTTCTGTAGTATGATTTACGTTACTTTCTCATTGGTTCAGCTTACACTCTTCTATATTTAGGTGAGAATAAGATGTTTTGCATCCTTGAAGGATCAAAATTAGAGCAAGATCAATGGAATTATCTCTATTTGCTGCCTCACAGCGTGCCCTCTCAGTAAAGTTGCAGTCTGTTCTAGACAATTGATAAATTCTCTTGAAAGGTTCTGGTACAAACCTCTTCGTCTGAAGTGCCCTTCTTCGAATGGACCTAACTGAATTTTGGCAGATTACATAGACCACCTTCAAGAAAGAAAATGTCTGCCTTAGAATCCCTTTGTAATGGGCAATATGTAGAAGCACGATGCCTGTCTGCTTAGGGGTTAGAGTGGTATGTTTTTTTCTTCGTTGATGGTGACTGCTTCCTCGTAACGGCATCAACAATATGTTAAGTTCAACTTGATTGGACAGAAGTAAGATTTGAATAGATCTTTTTTGTGTTTTATTACGCTCCTCGTTTCTCCCCTGTTATGATCTCAATGGCTACTAATGGAACCGCACGCCACACTCATTTTTCACCTTAAATTTTTATCCTTGGGAATTTAGGTAGAGCTAGTACCCATTAGATTCCGCATAATCTTTCTCTTGCTTTATTCCCTTAAACCTTGCGTGCATAATTATATTAACTAGTCATGACCTTTGGAAAAATTAAGTAAATTAAATGAATATTTGGTGAAACTTATAAGAATTTTTTTTTAAACTATTTATGAGTAATAAGTTTAAATTTTTATTGGAAAGAAAATTTAAAAGTTGTTTTTAGAAATAAAAAAAAAAAGTGAATAAAAATTGAGAAAAAAAAATTTATAAAAACCACAAATTTAAAACTTTTTAAAATTTACATTTTAAGATCTCTTTAAGGTTAAAAAGAAATTAAAAATGTAAATTTTTAAAGGAAAAGTTTTAACTTATGAAATATAAATAGTGTTAAAAAACTAAAATTCTTACAAATTTTACCAAACATGTCTTAAATTCAAGTGCTTGTGGCTTGTTTGACAAAAAAATCTTTTCCATATTTAGGAAGGTCTAGAAAGAGTAATTCTTTATGAATTTTAGTTTTTATTATTGATTAATCATCTTTGACTGGATTATATTGCTTGTTTATATACAAATAATTAATTATTAAATTAGTCCTTTAGTAATTTGCTCAAAAAATAGTAAATAAATAAAGGCTAGCTAGTAATGTTTTCATGTTGACTGTTTCAAATTTAAGCTTCGAGACATTAAAACTGAAAAATTACAGTGCCCTCACAGCTTTAATTAATCTGGAAAGTGTTGTGTTGAGAGTCATGAAAATTACTGTAGCGGTCCTCTTTTGTGTGGTCCTTTGGCTCTAGGGACAGGGAAGGTGGTCTCTTGAGCTTTCGTTTTTCTTCACTGTCAAAAAATATCTAGCATATTTTGTCTCTTCGTTCCAATTTTTATACCAGTATCTATCCTCCTCGTATCGTCCTTTTGCCCTTGTGCACAAGGGATGAGCTCGTGTCTTTTCTTTTGCCTTCATTCAAATTCCATGGCGCTTTCTTGAACTTGAAAAGTACTCAAAATGGACGAGCTTTACGTTGAGTTAGAGTTTTTAAAGCGAATTCAAGCACAAATATTTCAGTACTTAATTCATTAACAACCTTAAGTTCAATACTCAAACTTGACGAACTTGATGTTGAGTTAGAGTTTTCAAAACAAACTTGAACGAGTATTCAACTACTTGACTCGATTCATTAATAGCTTTAAGCGCAACAGCTGACCTGTGAGGCTGAGACTGTGAGTGTGTGGGCTTTTTTTTTTTTTTTTAAACATGTTTACCAGAGGTGGGATTGAATCCAAACTTAAGAGAAGAGAGGAGGGAAGAGAGGAGTGCATCTTTTTTTAACATGGTTAATACCATTAGACTCGATGGATCAGGTACAAGTGAGGGCCTTTTTAAGAACGAAATTATCAAGCTTTTGATACCTTAGGGTAAGGCTAAACGAAAATATGACAGAAACGAATGGAGTCAGAATATTAAGCATTGAAATTGAACCAATGATGGTACCTTTCCTTTTCCTGTTGAATAAATCAGTTATCCATAATAGTGTACGATATGATACCTATTTTTTACTGTTGAAACTGAAAGTTAAAATAGTTCTCCCTATCCTAGATTTTTTTTTTTTTTTGAACAAAGGAAAATAGGATGCACCGATGCAGAAAAGAAAAAAGAAAAATTAAGACAGTTGTTGTTAATTGTAAGTGGAGCATCCTTGATGATAATTTAACGTCCTTTCTATAAATAATGTAGTTTTAAAGACCTATTCGGTCGAATCCTCCATATCCTAAACTCTTAATAATGGATTTTTTTTTTAAATGGAAAATTATGGGAGATTGGGGAATTTTTTAAATAATTGACGTGAGTTGAACTTTGATTATTTAAATTTAAATATTAAAATTTGAAAATAAATCATTAGATTTGAAATTTTGATTTAACTTATAATAATAAATTTGTGAAACTTAAAATCAATAAAAATAATAAGTTTGTGTTTGTAATTTTCCAATTGGAGTGCCATATCCACTTTGAATAAGCTCATACGCACAATCACTTCTCTTTTTTATTGGTTCCCCTTTTTTAAAAATTTCTTTTTACATTAGATATGCTTTTAATAGTACTTTATGTTATTTTTTTTGTGAATAGAAGAAAAAGGATTATACAGTATGAATTAATATAATATTAATTATTGAATAAAAATAAATTTTTTAATATTAAAATTCTCTTTTTAGATTAATGATTTATTAATTTGAACAAAAAGAGTTTGATTTTTTTTAAATTTTTTATACGGACCTCTCTTTATTCGGTAACCACATTAGATTTCGATTAATTTAAAATTCAATGTATTGGATCTTATAAGGAAAAAACTCTCTCAACATTTATTTTTTCATTTATAAGATTTGAATTCAAAATTTTATTTAAAAGAAACTAAACTTATTTTACTCAGATTAATAAATCGTTATTTTATTTTTTTTAAGTAAAATTTTAAATTTAAATTTTTTAAATAAAAAAATAAGTGTTTAGAAAAATTTTTCCATGATATTTATCATTTGATATAATATAAATTACAAAACAAAATACTGTTTGTGAATATTAACGTGAGAAATTTCGGTTATGAAAAAAATGAAAAAAGAAAAGAGGAAAATTTTGAGGTGAATATCAAATGATCAAATCCCAAAGGTTGACTAATCAACCGGAGCAGATGTCAGATTCACTCTGATCACTGCACGGTTAACACTGCGAAATGTTAACTGCAGTGTCTTTTCACGCCGTCTGTCAACCCCACCCCCCACCAATTATTTTTCCTTTTAAATTTAATTTTCCCAAGAAACAAACACCCTCAAAATCTTGGAGCCAAAAAAGTGAAAAACACCAACTCCATGGCGCCAATTTCTTTCTTTCTTTCTTTTATTTTTCCATCATTTTCATACCCATTCCTCTCACACCCGTTTCCCCCCTTCTTTTTTTTTACCTTTTTTAGGGATTTTGGCGGGTGGCATTTTGCAGTAAAAATTCCCTCCTTTAAGGGTATTCCCGTCATTTCAAACCCCCAGAACTAGGGTTTCACGTCTCGTTTAAATTAGGGTTAATTTTAGATCTGCTTCGAGCGATTTTGGCTGTGTTGGTTTGATTCTCTCTCTGTCTCAATTTATCTGGAGGGATTCATAGAGTCTCCGCAGCACACACACTATAACCCCCCCTCCTCCCTTGTCTTTGTGCATGTTGGTCCACTTTCTAGGTTAAGCCAAAATATCGATTCTCTCATCTCATTTCCTCTTCTGCTGCTGCTTTCCCTTCTCTCTTTTTCCCTCTGTTTGCTCAGTGTTCAATCCGCATCATTTGATTCGTTTTTCTTTAGGAAATCCCTTCAAGTTGTGGTCTTTCCCTCTGATTTCTCCTTTCCCATTTCTGGGTTTTGTTTCTCTTGATCTGTTGATCTCTCATCCCTCTTATCCGATCGAGTTTCTTCTCTGTTTCTGCTTTGAGTTCCTCTGTTTTTCTCATATAAGAATCTGGGTGTTCGTAAAGTACCCTACTTTGATCTTCTTAGCTGGGTTCCATTTTGGTTTTTTTCGAATTTGGTGGTAAAAATGCTGGATCCGAGTGAGAAAGTGAGTGATCGTGACTCTCTGTTTCTTGATTCGATCCTTCTCTTTGCTTCGAATCTTAACATTGGTTTACTTTCTCTGTGTAGGGATCAGAATCAGAGGACCGGAACAAGAAATCCCCAGATGGGTTTTCTCCTAAAGAAACCCTAAACCAAGTGGGCGAGCCCAAGAAGACCTGCGCCGATTGCGGTACCTCTAAAACCCCTCTCTGGCGAGGTGGTCCGGCTGGCCCTAAGGTAACTATTTTTAATTAATTTGAATGGTTTTTGACATGGATCAGTGGTTTCCTGGTCTTTGATCTGATCATTTTGTTCTGGTTCTTGTAGTCATTATGTAATGCATGCGGGATAAGAAGCAGGAAGAAAAGAAGGGCGATCTTGGGGATAAGCAAAGAAGAGAAGAAACCAAAGAAAGGAGGCAATAGTTACAGTAGTTCTTCAACTAGTGGTGGGAATAACGGTAAAATAGGTGACAATCTGAAGCAGAGGTTGTTGGCATTAGGAAGAGATGTTATGATGCAGAGATCGACAGTAGAGAAGCAGAGGAGGAAGTGGGGAGAAGAAGAGCAAGCAGCTGTTTTGCTCATGGCTTTGTCCAATCGTTTTGTCAAGAGCAATAATACTAGAATCCTCAAAATCCCTAGCTAACCATTTTCAAGTGTAATCCCTGTGATTTTTCCATGTTCTTTTTACTATTACTGATGATTTGTAGTAGTTTAGGATTATTAACTAATTTTGGAGATGAGAGTAGAAAGTCTAAGAAGTAGGGATTTGATTCTATTTTCCCTAACAACTAAAGTAATTTATGTTGTTGATGTCGCCCATTTGATCTTTTTCATGTTGTCTTGGTGTGTATGTATCAGCTCTCAAGCATAAAACTTCCCAATTTTATGAATAGGTTAAATGGCTAAAATTTCAAAAACCTGGAAATGGGGAAATTAGGGTTTTTGATGAACGGTTTTAAATGATTATCTTTTTTATACGAGGGTTATATACTAATGGATAATTTTTTTTTTCTTTTTTTGAACTCCTCTTCACCTGTCTTAATACTCAAACTTTAGATTTTTAAGATTTAAATTATTAACTTTTAAGACATCTCATAGGCCACAGGTTTTGGGTGATTATGACAAAAGTGAGAAATTTAAAATTATTAAGGCACTCAATTTAAGAATCAAAATGATCAAAGTATCCTTAATAAATTAACATAAGAAAAAGTCTCATTCGATAAATTCATTTGATAAACTCGGTACTTATTTGTGGATAAATATGTATTTTTGTGTAATACAAATTAAAATATATTTTTTTATTTATTGAAATTCAAAAATATGGACTTTTCTTAGGCGCCAAATAGCATATAATATCTAACTTCTGGTTGGTCTCAAAATTTATTGGTTTGCTCTTCAATTGGTGCAACTGCAAAGAATGGTACTCCATGATAATAGAAGAGAGATCTTTGCTCATCAAATGCAGATGCCCATTTATAGACAGCACAATGACACATCTCTACTCTTAGAGGTGGAATTGTTCAATAAGTTTATGAGAGTGTGAATGTGTGATAAAGAAAAAAAGAAATGCCCATTCTCTATTTTCTAACCCAACCCAAATATTGGAAAGAAGAATGCTTGTTAAAAGTCAAGTGCATTCAACTGTTATAGGAGTTTGACTCAATTTTTTGCAAGATTTCTTTATTTCAAAAATTAAAGTTATGTCAAACATGATATTCTAAGAAAACACCTTTGCCATTTTCAAAATTTGTTTTCCTTTTTCACATGGTTTATTGTTTTTTTAAGTAGAACTTCTAGAGTAGGATTTTACTGTTCAGCACTAAACTAACACTACTCCAAAAGCTACAATTATATGAAATACACCTGTTGTAGTCTCTTAATTTCATGATCCATCGTATAGAATAAAAAAATATATTTTATAATCTGAATTATAAAATTATAGTCAAAATAATATAAGAGTGGTGTTATATGGACAATTTTTTTATCTCATCTTTTTATACAACTTTCATATGTCATTAAATAAATAGATGCATTCAATATCATGAGTTCCATATAAATTAAAAAAAATTAATCATTTTAATGATACATCAAATTATATAAAAAAAAATGAAACAAAAAAATTATACAAAAATCATTTCTCCTAATATAAAGAGCAAATAACATTTGAGCAGCTCAGTAGCAGCCGAATTACTTACAAGGACGTGAATCCTAGTTTTGTTTTTCTAATCGCGAAATTGTGAATCCTAGCTCTCAAAAAGGCCCAGACTTCCTCTATTTTGAAATGGGTTCATAATGAGCGGCCCAATTTTTAGTAATTAAGGCAACTCCAGCTACTTAATATATAGGGGGATGTGGCCAGTTTTTGAGGGTTCTATCTTTACATTTTGGCCCAAGATCCATCTCTTGGATCATGCACTGGCAGCCCACATAAGTATATTATACATCCAGCCCTTCCTTGAGGAGGAAATTACAGCATTACCCCATTTATGTGCTCTGAGGGAAGATTTTGTTAACAAAAAGGATTTGCAAGTATTTGAGTTGAATACTAGAATGTATATATATCCTCGAGGGATAAACTTCCTCCCAAATGGAGCTTTCTAGTTCATTCAATTAGATGCTCTAAAGCGGTGACTTAATAATTAAGAATTTGAGATTTCAAGTTTAAAATTTTTAATTCAAATATTAAGTTTGGTGAAAGAAATTTAAGAAAAAAAAAGTTATTATTTTTTGTATAATTTATCATTATCAAATGTATCAAAAAAAAAAAAAAAGATATTAAATCTTGAAAGAGATTATGATGGTGTATTTCCTCACATATTTCTATACTCTAACTGGATTTGAAATCTCTCTTTTGATAGGACTAAATAGAAAATTTTAGTTTTTGGTTGAGCAACAATATCAACGGTAATGTCATGTTCTTCACATTAGTTGAAAAGAAAGTAATGTTCTTTTTCTTCTACTTGTCTTTGGAGAAAAATTATGCTATATCACAAGGATGTCTAATGAAAAATTTTTGTTACTTCATTCAACTATTAGCTTTCTGTAATTTACTATATTATATTAAAATGGTCAAATCTTTTATTTTCATTTTAAATATTACTATTTTTAATTTTAAATACTTTTTAAAAATTTCATTCTTAGTCAACATTTTTTAAAGTTTAAAATTCGTAAAAAACATCAAATTACAAACCAAGTCAAGATGTAAATAGAAATTTAGTTTTTAACTTTTAAAATTTTTTATAAATTTTAAATTTTAAAAGGATTAATAAAAAATAAAAATTTTAAAAAGTATTGATCACAAACAATAATATAGCGGTATATAAATAAGAGATTTAAATAATATTTAATGCTCTCACATTGATGGTTTCCTCTTCATGGTGCCCCCAACTTCCCAATTCTCATCCACTTGGTTGGGAGCCTGCCATCCATCATAATTAGATGCCCTACAGCTATAGGGCTGGCTGTCTCTCCACAAATTGATTCTCTCTGTTTTTACATTTATTTTTTTATAAGGCAATTATGTAACGATAATTTTTTTAATAATTTTTATATATTATTAAATAAATATATATTCAATATTATAAATTTTAAATAATAAAAAAATTAATTATTTAAATAACACATAAAATTATATTAAAAAAATAAAACAAAAAAATTATTCTTGAACATTTTTTTTTCATGTTTTTCCTATGTGCTTATTTTGCTCTCAATTTTGGCATCTTAGTGAGGTACGTGGATCCCACCCATGGAAGGTCTACAGTCAATTCAGTTACTGACACTTCGATGATTCAATTTAATCCACAAACTCAAAATTAAAAAGAGAATAAAAAACAAAACAAGAACAGAAAAGGGTTCCTGCCCTTTAAATTTAACTAAAAAGAGAAAATCTCCCTTGTCCTGTCACATGGAATTAGGGAAAAAGTTGGGTCTTTCATCATAGACCCACTATCCTGAAGTAAAATCACAAGTAAAAAGAGCAGCTAAAAGGTTCCATACGGATGTCCCAAAGTTAAAAAACTGGAATTTGTGTGCTGAAATTTTCAGGTTGAATTTTATGACAAATGAAAATTTATTAGAAAATAAGTGATTGGTGACTATCTCTAACATAATTTATTCCTACTAGTTTTGCTAATTGTTTTATTTTTTATTTTTTATTTTTTATTTTTGAACATAGGGGAATTTTGGGGGAGGGGGGATTAGAACCAAGGTCATAACCTTGGAATATACACACCCTATCCACTGCATCAAGTGCTGCGGGTGTGTGCTAATTGTTTTATTTTGATTTCTACATGTAGTTTAATTTGCATTAATGTTGTCATATGATAATAGCAAATGAATGGTAATTAAAAATTTTCTTTGGTTAATTGAATTTATTTAATAAGACTGAATGAATATTTAAAAATAAACAAACAAATAATTAAAAAAAAATAGCAAAGAAAAGGTGAATTAATATGCATATAAGGTCTTAATTTAACTAATTAAGAGTATTGAGAAATTAAGATCCCAAATTTTAAGATTACTAGTTCTACAACTTTGAGATTATAGGTTCACTACCATGTATGTGACTTCATTCTTTTTTTTCTTTTTCTTTTTTTTGATTTGTGTGTATTGTGCTCTTAAGTAGTTTAACTCAAATCTATATTATATACACTTATATTGCATTTATGTAAAAAAATTGTGTATGTAATAAAAAGCTTATTGCTAATAAATAATGACATGCACTAGCAGATATCATAGAATTTAAGAGCTTGTGTTTTTGTATGAGATGTCTCAAGTTTGAATTCTGTAATAAATGAGAAAAAAAAACTAATTTTTGTTATATATTCCATCATCCAACAATCGTTCATATATTATTTTAAATCTATTATCATTTAATAGTTTATATTTTAAAGTTTGAATTGTAAATATTTTTATGAAACAAAAAATATTACTGGTAGAAATAATAGAAAATTGAAATACAATCTATACAACACAAATTGTATTACAACATTTTCTATTAACAATAAATAGTCAAGTCATT